TTTCTCCCTTCAATTCAATGTCTAGTCCTTCCACGGAAACCCTAAATAATCTCATGTGTTAGAAAAGGGAGAGGAAGGTAGGATTGATAGTGAGTTGTTAATGTTTTGATCTTCTCGTAACAGAACTTTTACTTCCTAAAATTTAGATAGAAATTTCTAAAATTCAAGAATAAAATAAGAAATACAGTAAATCTCAGTGCCCAACAGGTGTCAGACCTCAAAGGAGCTTGAGCCCAGTGTCTAACTCCCCATTTTCTGGGAGCCCAGGCCCAGGGGTGGGACTTGGCCATGGAGACAAATGGCAAGCACATTGGGAGGACCCCAGGGTCAGCTGATATGCTGACAAGGCCGGAGGACAGTGTGACAGGACCAAGTAGGGGTGTCCTGTTACAGGAAGGAGATCTACAGCAGGGCTTGGATGCAGAGAACAAAGTTGTAGCACAACGTGCAAGTGTCTACTTGGATGACAAGGTAGAAGGTGGATAGGAATCACAAGGGAAAGACAGGGCCAGGCTGGACATGTTCATTTCAAAATGGCTGTTGTAGCCCAAGAGAGTGAGTAACACATGTAATGTATTTATTTGTAACAGGCCTAAGGTTCTTATTTAGGGTCCCATTCTAAGGTTTATTATGTTATGTCACTTTTGCTCTCTCTAGAGCAATTTTTTTTTTTTTTGGTCATAATATTAGGAATTGAACCCTAGGCCTTCACACTGAAGTACCTCCCAAGCTCCTAATTTTTTTAAAATTTTGAGACAGGATCTCACTAAGAGAGAAAGTTGCCCAGGCTGCTCTTGAACTTGTGATCCTCCTGTCTCAGCCTCTCAGACTGCTGGGATTATTGGTGTGTGGCACCATGCCCAGTTTAGAGCAATTTTATAACAATACTTCCCCTATTTATTTATTTATGTATTTTAAATTGGGGAAAAAATGTAACACCTACTCCTGTCATTTAGATCTTTCATCTTATTCTGCTTATTGACTTCATAAAAGATTTTTCCAGACTTACCCATTTCCTTGAATGTTACACTATTCGAGTGTTACTAAGGGATTATCAGTGTACACTAACCAAGCATGACTTTTACATATTTCATATGGAGCCTTAAAAATGTTTATTTCATTTTTCAAGTCGTCCGTTTCCAAGTCTGTGATTGAGGAAATGGGGTGCGGTGGGGTGGGGTAGGGGGCATACAAGGTATGGGAAAGCGTGACGTTGGCCAGCTCCACACTTGTTTCCAGTTACTGTTTCCTACTAACCCCATCTCCATGCAAGGAAACCAAGGCCAGAAAGTTAGTTACATGAGGTCATGCAAGTGATCTGCTCTTAGGATGTCAGACCTCAACAGAGAAGTGATTTGGGGTGCACGTTGAAGGGGTGAGGTTAGGTTCAGGACAGGTTCTTCCTAGGAGGGAAGTAGAGTCTCCTTAGGTAGGATTATAAGAACAAACCATAAATGGCTTCCACAGGCTGTGAGACACAGTGGAATTCTTGTAGAACTGGGATTATTTCAAGGATGTATTGGTATGGGACAATGGAAAGTATTTAGTTTTACATAATACACTCTGAAAAGGGCAACAAATAGAAATGCAAATATGAAATTTCCCTAAGCAAATTTGCTACACTTCATTTGCCAGGGATACATGGTGATGCACACCTGTACTGCTGGCACTCTGGGAAGCTGACGCAGGAGGATCACAAATTCTAACCCAGCCTGGACACTTAGTGACTTGATGAGACCCTGTCTCAAAAAAAGAATTTATAAAAGGGCTGAGGGGGGCCTGAAGTGTGAAGGCCCTGAGTTCAAGTCTCAGTACTTAAAAAAAGAGAGTGTAGATAGTTATAGGCATTTCTAAAAAATGGATAGGACAAATAATTAAGTTGCTTTCATTACTGTTACAGAATGGGCTTAGCTTTAGAATTATTCACTAGTGATTTGAGGCAGCAACAGGGAGACCCTTTTATGGCTTTATTTCTGAGGGCTGTATAAGTTTCGATGCTTTGCTGCTGGGGGGAGACCATGAGGTGATGGGCTCTATCACATCGCTGGTTCTAAGGGAGAGGACGCAGGGTGGGACAGCAGGAACCCCACAGCAGGGAGGGAGGGAGGGACCTCCTAGCCCTACCTTTTCGGATGTCGCTGCCTGGTTTAGGGGAAAAAACTTCTCTTTTTTAAAAAATATATAATTGGATCACAAAAGTAATAGCATTGATCAGAAGGCTCAATGGGGATGAAAGTCAATAACATATCTAAGTGTTTGAGAATTGTCGGGATTCTTCCTTGGTTGTTCTCTTTGTCACTGGAACAGAGAGAAAACCATAGATTGGGCTGGTTTGACACATGTATAGAAATGCTGCCGGGCCAGCCCCAAGATATTTAGAGGATTTTAATTTTTCACACACAAAAAAACAAGCTATAAGAAATAAATTGTTGGAAAGCCAGGAACGGAGAACTTGGCTGAAGTGTTTGGCTTACACACCTGTGGTTTGGCCCGAGGACTATGAGCCCCGTGTGCTTCTGTCTGCACAGTCACCATGCATGGCTGTATAGAATAGAGTGTCGTAACATAGAACAATTGAATTGTCAGGTTTTGAACTAGAAGGAAGAATCTCAGAAACCTAGCCCAGTGGTTTTCAAACTTGATTTTAGAAGCAATTATTTTTCCTTTAAAAATGAAATCATAGAATCTGAAATTTTTAAAACAGATAAGATAATGTAATGGCCCTTTAAGTCGTTAGTGGTTGGGGGGAAAGTTCATTACCTGCAGAAACCCGTAAGCCCCTCAGGTGGCACAGTTTGAAAACCATTGATCTAGTCCAACCCTTTCATTTTGCAGATGAGCAAACTGAGGTCGAGAGAGTTTAAGTGACTTACTCAAGGTCACACAGCTAGTCATGGAAGAGCCAGGACTAGATCTCAGGTGTCTTGATTTCCAGTCCAGTGCTCTTTCCATTACACCCCACTTCCAGTAAGGTAGGTGTTGTGCTAGCATTACGTTCATAGCTACTAACTGTCATCAGTATTTTCCAACTGATTTGTGCTGGTAATATGCATTGAATGTTGAAGTGTATTATTCAGAAATGTATAGGATATGAAAATACAGATTACAGTCACATAGATATACTCTTAGGAGATAAATCAATAGATAGAATGTTTCCTTTCACTGTTAAAAAATTATTTTAAAGCAATGCAGTTAAGCAGTGTCTGGGTTATACTGGGTATTTTAGTCGGATACCAATGATCAATATGCATGGAGTCAGTATATTTTAGTGCAGACACAGACTTGACGGGAGCAGCCTGGAGATTTCTGGCCGCCGCGCCCCTGGGGACCATGCGGTGCTGTCTTACAGTACTGGCCAGTCTCCCGTCTCAGAGCAGCGCATCCTGTAGCTTGTCGCTGGCCCATTTTCATTTCACACAAAACTCACTAGACTTCCTCTGCTCTTTGTGTGCTTATGCCTTCCATCTCAAACTCCTTTATCCTTCTGAGTGTAGGGCAGGGGTGGTGAACCCATGGCACATGTGCCACAGCAGCCTGTTTGTCATCACTGAAAGCTCTAAAAGGTTCCCTATCACTGATGTAGTTGTGCAAATTGTCACTGGGACTCCACTCTCAAGGGACATAAAGGATGCTCCTTGTAGAACCCATTGCCCACACAGTCTCCATGGCTGGTTCACTTTGCATTTGGATGTTCCTCTGAGACTATCAAGGACTGTCCATAGATGCTGGGAAAGTAGGAAAAGTGTCTTCAAGCCTTCATAACTATAATTTTATCAACTTAAAAAGCCATAGGGAGATCTGGCAGAATTCTCACAAGGCTTCTGTGGGAAAGTAGATGTTACTCCTACCCCAGGGAGGGACAGACTGTGCTGGTTTCATCAGGAGGCTCAGCTACTGTGCTACACAATTTGGGATCTGTGATTCCAGTAGAAGTTAGATATGATTGGTTTTTGACTCTTTTGGGGGGGGGGGTGGAACCCAGGGCTTTCATACTAAGCTACCTCCCTTTTTGAAGTTTTTTGCCTGGCTTGTTTTTGTCATGTATTATGTTAGTTTCTAAGCAATAGAGATACATTCAGCAAGCAAATATTTCTTTAGCCCTACTTTCATTTGAGAATTGAGGCGCAGTGATTTGTTGTCAAGTCTTATGTATGGAAAGCCAAGTTCAGAGCTCTGTGGATCATCTGACAAAGCATACCCAGGGTGTGCCAGTCCTCCTCTATGACCCCAGACAGGACCTCCATTCTCTGGGCAGGTGTTTTTTCAGCTTTAAAATAAGTGGTGACCTAGATTTTCCTTTTAGTCCCAGATAGCCCTGTCCAACTGATGCTTATGTTGGTGACCCGAGACAGTTATGTCGGGGTGTTATTTTGCTTACCATGTCAGCTCAGTTGGATCATTGCTTTCCGGTAGACATCTAGTAGGCGGCTTTTGAGCACCTGAAATGTGAATACAGCTACTGAAGACTTGAACTTGAAGCTTTATTTAATTTTAATTACCAACATCTTAATTTAAATGGCCTCATGTCCTTACTGACTTGGACAGCACTGCTCTCAGGTGTTCTTTGCTGCAGAAGTCAGATACCAGGTGGAGTGCATGGCCCTCATTCATTTAGATGCTGAAGATATTCAACTGATGAATCTTCACCAAATACAGCCAGTCTTAGGGGAACTTGTTAGAAGTCAAAAACTCTGTGTTTTGCATGAAAATGTTATCTAAGGAGATTGGGTTTCTTATTTGTGCCTTAACCACATGAGCTTCAGCTGCAAAAATGCTTGCTAATTTGGCACTGGCTGTTCCCTCCTCTGTAGTCTGGTGATCATCTAAGTCTTGGTGTGGGTCTCACTGAATTCCCATAGGTTTTCCGGGAAGCTGAGTTTTGAAAGTTTCTGGCCACAGAAGGAATATTCTGTTGATATTGCAAGCTCAAATATGAATGTCTGAACTATGCTGGTTTCTGAGTACTTTATGAAACAAAACTCTCTCTCTTCCCCCCTCAGAACCAAAGAAAATGGCTTTGACAGAGAGCCTTTGCACTCAGAGCATCCAAGCAAGCGACCATGCACTATTAGCCCTGGCCAGCGGTACAGTCCAAATAACGGCTTGTCCTACCAGCCCAATGGCCTGCCTCACCCCGCCCCGCCTCCACCTCAGCATTACCGTTTGGATGATATGGCCATTGCCCACCACTACAGGGACTCCTATCGACACCCCAGCCACAGGGACCTCAGGGACAGAAACAGACCTATGGGTAAGACTGGGGATCTGTTCACTTCCTTTGGATTGGATGCTTGAAGACTTGTGTCATTACTTCTTACCTGAATTTGAGGTTTGAGATCTTATAGGAGTAAATTCTCTGTCTTTATATTGTTTCCTTTATGAGAAAACTGGATTAGTATTAATATTCTCTCTCATATATTCTTTATGACAACACGTTTTTTGGAGCAGGGCATCAAACTTAATATAAAACCGGGGCTGGAGATTTAGCTCAGTGGTGCTGCACCTGCCTGGCAAGCACAAGATCCTGAGTTCAATCCCTGGTTCCACAAACAAATGATTATTATTCGTAGTAATGAATATACATTGAATTTTTAATTCAAAATCTTTTTTAACATGAGTGATTTTATGTGCAGGCTACTCGCTACAATTTTTCTTTTTATTGAGACAGTCTTGCTGTGTAGTCCAGGCTGGCCTTGAATTCGTGATTCACCTGTCTCAGCCTCCTCAATGCTGGAGTTAGTCATATGCCACCACAGTGGGTATACCACAGATATTTTAAAAACATAGTTTCTTTCACTGAATATTTTATTCAGAAGATCTCAAAATTCATTTCGACATTTCCAGTCTCTTTGATATTCCATGTTTCTAAAATATCACATGGCATGCTATCTGTGGTTTACCTGGACAGATAATTCTTGTTTTTTGGTACCAGGGATTAAACTCAGGACCTTGCACTTGTGAGGCAGGTGGCAGCACCGCTGAGCTAAATCCCGGGCCCTTGGACAGATATTCTTGAGGAATGCTTGATACTTTAATCGATGACACAAGTGATTAAAGTATTGTCAATTTTGTATCAGATTAGAATATAGGAGTGAGTTTGGGCAAATATGTGTTGTTTGCCTGTGTCCATTCCTTTTTTACATAAAACTGTTGGAAGTAAAGCTTTCAGGTGACGTTGCTTTCTAAAGAACAAGTGTCTGCCATGAGAAACAGAAGATGAACAAGGTAAGTTTTGATACGTGCCCAGTGTTCACAGTGACGCTGTTAAGTGGTTGGGAAGGACAGTGTTCTGAGAACACCTTCAATACCTAAGTGTTGATGAGGCTGAGTGTGGCAACCAGTCCTGTTTTCTTATCTCCTGTGTCCCTCCCACCCACCCACCCCAGGATTTCCTTCACCTCGTAACTAGTCACTGGCAAACGTCCCTGACATGGGCCATTTGGGGGGCAGGGTACTGGAAAGAACAAGGAACGAAGTTGGAGTGAGAAACCAGAATGCAGAGCTGATAATGCAGAACTCTGGAAGCTGCGGTCAGCCAACCGCCCACTGCTTGGAGAATTGCGACAGTTTCTTGTTTTCAGAGGCAGAGACAGCCTGATATGCAGAAGTTTATGTTAGATTTCTGACTAGGTTACTAGCAAACAGGGACCGCCAAGTGTAGAGCCTTTTTCACCTTTTGATACAGAACCCTGCAAATGTTTAGAAAGCAGCAAGGGTGGGGGAAGAGATGATTGAGGCTTTGCTTGTGAGATAGTAAATTAGCAGTAGTTCTGGTTCCCCACAACAGTAATTTCTACATTTATATAGTATGTTCGACAAATGGCTGAGCATATAATTTGTGCATTCTTAATAGCCAGTCTGTCTAATGTTCTCAGGTACTGTTTTTGAAGAGCTTTCAGAATTAGCTTTTTCTCAATCTGGACTGATATTTTGACCTCAATCAAATGTGATAATAACCCCCTTCTTTGCAAAAATCTGACCATTAATTTTGACTTCCAGCCCCTAAACCGGGATTGCTCATTTTTAAATAGCAATGGAGTCATTGGGTCACTGTGTTGAAGGGAACCCGTGTTGTAGGTGGTAGGAAATGGCCTCTTTCTTAAGCAGCAAATGTTATGTGGTGAAATATTAGTTACAGTGCACTATAAAATAATCAGCAAGGAAGTAATTATGCTTATGTGCAATGATTACATTTTCATCTAGTAATGTAAAATATCCCTTTATGAATTATATCTGTATCCACTGGTTTTATGTGATTTTCTTCAGACCATGTTCCTTACCTTTTAATTATATTAGCTTATAAAACTAATAGTGCTAATCTCTCCAAATATGTGCAACTACTTAACCATCCCTGAAGTCTGCCAGAGTTTCGTGTGTGCTAATGTAAAATAAACTCTTGATATATAAGTAACAAATTATGATGTTACATCCAGCTGCCATTTTGAGAATATAAAAATTGCCATGAAGGTTTACTTAGTCTGGTATGATTCCTGAATGCCTAGTATATGTAAGGACATATAGCCATTAGAATTCTTTAATAAAATAACTTTGTATGCAACATTAGTTTGTGAGTAAATTTAGGGCTTTAACTTAGCCAAAGTCTTCTAAAACATAAGTATTAGTTAAGACTCAACACTAGCACCACATTTCTCACACAGGGAAAATATGCTTTTGAATGATCATGAGCTGTTTTCTCCTAGTACATCTCTCTGGCATTATATATATAATTAAACATTGTGTGCTGCTGAATATTTAAGAATGTGAAGTAGAGATACTGAGAAATATTAAAATTTCATGTATCTTACTCTTTCCTTTTAAAGATTTGATTCTAACAAATGACCTCCAGAGTTCAAAAGCAGCAAATGAATCCTAAATTTCTTCGCCAAGTGGTCAGGCTCAAACATGTTTCTAATGTTACTACTTTTTAGAAAATGAGGTGGAGATTAGCACTATTCTATAAATGCTAGAATCCCATTAGCCATAAACATCCAGTTGCTATTTAGTTATTCCAGGTGTTAGAACATGTGTCCGTACTGACTTAGTTTGCCAAGCTTTTGAAACTTTTGTTTTGAGACAGGGTCTTGCTGTATAGGTCTCAGGTTGGCCTTGAACTCATTATTCATGTAGCCCATGCTGGCCGTAAACTTGTGATCCTCCTGCCTCAGCTTCCTGAATGCTGGAATTACAGGTGTGCATTACCACCCCTGGCTTTTTTGAAGCTTTCAAAACTTCTGGAGTTCTTGGACTTCAAAGGCAAATACTTAGGTGCCACCATTATGAAAGTTCCTATCATATTTATATTCTTATCACTCTCTGGTTGTTTTCTGTGATGACTCATTTTAACAGTAGTGCTTTCTCCCTGAAACACAGGCAGCAAATAAATCAACAAAAATTACATATTTGCAAACATTTCAACTTGAAGTAATCACAACAAACAGCAAAAACTATTACTTTCCCTCAATGTCTTTTCTGTTACGCAAATTACTAAGACATATTTGCAATTTTACTTTTTTACCAATAGGTGGCATTGGCAATTTTAACTTTTAAAGTGTACCTCAGAGTATGTTCTAATTGGACAGGACCTTTGCAAAATATTTTGTGTTTTTTATTATTTTAGTCTGAGCAAGAGCTATCATAAATTTGTTTACTTCCATCAGTTATACATGGAATTGTATTTGCGGTTGACTGAAGAGTCATGTGACTCATCTTTTTTTCTTCTGTGAACTAAAAGGATTTTTGACCACTTAGTTTGCACAGAAAGTGAAATACAGTATCTTATAACTTTTACTGTTAATTCTTACCTGTGGCTCTCAGAGGAGCTTCAGTGTTTGGAAGCCTGACCATCCCAGGCTTAATTTGCTGTTCACAGTGCAAGGAGTGGCAAACAGAAGAACAGTTTGAGTCACTTACAATGGGAATATTGCCATAGTCTAAGGCAGCGGTGGTGAACCTATGGCACACGTGCCACAGCAGGCACACAGAGCCCTCTGTCAGCATGCAAGCCAAGTCACCCCAGCAGCTCAGCATCAGATAACAGTGTTTGTTTTCTAAACTAAAACCTCAGTATTCAGGTTTAATTGCAGTGTGGGCACTTTGTGACAGACGTGGAGGTTTTGGGTTGCAGTTTGGGCACTCAGTCTCTAAAATGTTCGCCATCTCTGGCCTAAGACCCTTCCTTGACAGAAAAGGCCTTTAACCACAGTAACTGTAGAGGAAGAACACATTTCTGGGCATCTTGGCTGGGAGCCTCCTACCCTGCCCTCTTAGTGGGACCACATGCACTTCGTATTCTGATGAGCCTCTTAGCTAACTGCTCACATGCGTTCCTGTTCACCGGTGCCACGTGTACATGCCACGTTTCCATAGTAGTATAAAGCTTAAGAACATTCATACTCATCCACTTGGATTTTCACTTTCTTGGTTAGCATGTATGTTTGTCAAATTATAACTGACACATTGGCTATTTCATAAAGAATATATGTTCATTTTTAATGTTTTATGTTTTGTTAAATCCTGTGAGTGTATGTAGCTTTCATATTATCTAAGCCCTTCTTCATAGCTTAGTTTTACCAGTGCAGTATGTGTATTAGGATTGTATTCATTTACAACTGTGCTGAAATGTAAGTTTGTTTTTTTTTTACTGTTTTTATTTTGGAAAAGTGTATCCTTGCCCATGTGAAATGACAACTGCTGTTTTTATTTTAAATACGGGACAGCCACATTTTGAAACCGCCTAATGTCTGCATCTAGTTTCTTGTGTTTATTTAGTGCTGAGGTTGAACCCATGGCCTTATGCATTCTAAACATGTACCATCGAGCCACACTCGCAGCCCCAGTTTCTTGTATTTATGAAGAGCGTATTTATATTTTTTCTTAGGGAGTGTTACATGGGTAATTAGCTCAGGACTTGAGATCACTTAACTCTGGCTCCTCAGTGTACAATAAAGGGTTCTGACCAGATGACCCACAAGTTCTTCTAGTTGTAATATTTTATCTTTAGATCATTTTGAGTCTAAATACGACTCATGTCTCCGATCAGAATCACATATATTTTCGTAGCTCTGGGTCGGCCCGCATAGCCCCGCCTATGTGCCTGCTTGTACACCAGATAGGGCTGACTACACTTTCTCCTTCCCATTTGTAGGGTTGCATGGCACGCGTCAAGAAGAAATGATTGATCACAGACTGACGGACCGAGAATGGGCGGAAGAGTGGAAACATCTTGATCATGTAAGACATCGCTTTTCATTTGGGTTTAAAAATGATTCGAGAACAGAAGAAGTGAGGTTATGTGTGAAAGTAAAGCTTGGAGATGCTTAGAAGGTGTTGTCTCCTGCCCTCCTGGGAGGGGGGAATGAGTGTGACCATTTGAAATAGAATGAAGGATTAGATTTCTAAATTGATATATGCCATTTAGGAGAATAGAATTTAGATCCTAAAAGAAGTTAGCCCAATAGGGCCACTGATTTATTGTGAAAGGGTCCTTTAGTTTATAGCCTAATGTGCTTAGTATTTGGTTTTGTTTTGTTTTGTTTGTCTTGTTTTCTAAACTGGTCCTCCTCCTTCCCCCTCCTGAGGGCTGGAATGACCAGTGTGCACCACTGTGCACCACTGTGCCTGGCTAATGGGCTTAGTATTTGCAAAGGGAGGTTTTACCTTCAGCTGAAATCTGTCGGTCACAACTCCCTTTCATGCCTCTTACTTTGTCTTCTTCCCATGGAATTTGCTCACCTCTTGGGTTTGAATTTCAAATCCAGCTATTGCAAATATTGGACTGATGCTTTAAGGAATAAAACCACTTCTTTCACTGTCCTGAAAGGTTGTTTTATTGTCCACTACATTGTTTAACTTGTGGTGAATTACGTGTTCTTTCCTCTCCCCTGTGGGGTTTCTTTTTTTTTTTTTGGTATGGGAAATTGCTGAAATTTTATTTTGTTACTATTTTTTTGTTTTGTTTTCATTGACAGGAACATTTATTGAATCATTGGGGGCCTTTATATTCTTGTTTTTCTTTGAAGCAAAGCATTTGTTGGCACATGCTAGATGCATGCAACCGTAACACTCACCCTCGCCTCTCTGGTTTCCCCTGCAGCTGTTAAACTGCATAATGGACATGGTAGAAAAAACGAGGCGCTCACTCACCGTCCTGAGGCGATGCCAGGAAGCCGACCGGGAGGAGCTGAACTACTGGATCCGACGATACAGTGACGCCGAGGACCTGAAGAAGGGCAGCGGCGGTGGCGGCCACTCCAGGCAGCAGAGCCCGGTCAACACAGACCCCGTTGCATTAGGTATCTTTGCTTCAGACAAGCATGTTTTTATTTTTCATTTTCTTATTTTTTTGTTTTGAGCACCTGGGATTGAACTCAGGACGTTCACACTGAGCTACATCTCTGGTCCTTCAAAAAAAAAATTTTAAGACAGGGACTCCCTAAGTCACTGAGTTCCCCAGGCTGGGCTCAAAGTTGCAATCCTCCCGCCTCGGCCTCCCACAGAGCTAAGGTTACAGGCCTGTGCTACAGTTCCTGGCTAGATGAGTATATTAAATAGATATTTCCTGTGCTATTAATACTGACTTTCTTAGGGCCGGAGATTTTGCTCAGCGGTTCTGCCGCCTGCCTCGAAAGAGCAAGGACCCAAGTTTGATCCCCGGTACCAAAAAAAAAATGCTGACTTTCTTTTTAATCTTGTCTTTAAAAAATAAAGAATACCCAGGAAATTTTAGTAAAATAAGAACTTCACATAGCCTCAGTTAGGAAAGTGGGCAGATTGGCACAAGATTCCAACTCCTTTTCCAGGTGAATGTTGTGAGTGAACCGGAAATCCATGTGTGTCACTCAGGTTTATGCCCCTTCCTACAGCTGTTAGGACCCTGCCTCAGACGTGCCAAACCGTAGTCTCAGGATGGGCCTGGGGCTTCTGTGTGTGTAGCTGATCCCTTAAGACTTCCACTGTTCTCCAGTGTTCGACAGCACTGCACACAGGGCTGTGTATTCTCTGATTTGTCATGTAAGGCACTCCTGTTTTGTAACTATATCTTTTAATGTTTTTGGATTTTATTTTTTATTACATTTTTATTTTATTTATTTTTTGAGTCAAGGTCTTGCTGTGTACTCCAGGCTGATCTTGAACTCATTCTGTAGCCCAGGCTAACCTTGAATTCATAGCAGTTCTCCTGCCTCAGCCTCCTGATTGCTAGGATTACAGGTGTGCACCATCATGCCTGGCTATAGCTATATCTTATAATAAACTCATACACATACATACACAGTTCTTTTCAGAACCCCAGCTAGATGAGAAACATAAAAGTTTGGTTTGCCTGTGCCCTTTGAAAATTAATAATAAAGATGTGGCTCTCACTTTGTGCTTTCTGATCTTAATTTGTGCTTAATCAAGATTATATTAGTTGTGCTTATATAACAGGACTGTTCCAGCTATACTTTCCCCATTGAGTGCTAGTATGCAGTTGTATTTAGTTTTGATATTTGGGGATTGATGGCGTTATAAATAGAGTGTAATCCCAAGGATACTGGATTAACTTCAAACTGAAAGAGTTTTCAAGTGACCTTTGAACTTCTGCTACATTCTTTTAAGAATAAGAAGGTGTCATTATTCACCTTGCTGGCCATTAAGTGTGTGTGCCATTGGCATAAACTTGTGCAGATGGATTTGTGTGGCCCCTCGTTCCCCCATCTTTGGCATATGCCTTTAGCTTCACATAAGAGTCATGTGAGTCAGGGCCAAGGGCTGCTCTTGGTACGGATCAGAACTTACATGTGCAGTTTGGGACATTGCCTGCATTGGCACCATGGCTGATTGTCAAAAGCTTCCATATGTTATCTGGCTGTTTGTCATTTTATCTTTGTGTTAAAAGTATTCCTTTTTCTCATATTAACTCCATTCCCTTCTATCCTTTCCCTTACCCCTCCCACTTCCTTCCCCTTTGCCCCTTTTCTTCCTGTTTCACATTATCTAGTATATATTTTAGTCCCTATTGACACTTTCAGTTTCTCACACCAGAGAAACTATTCGGCATTTATACATGTGTGTCCTGTTTATTTCACTTAGGAGTATCGCCTCAATGTGCATCCATTTAGCTATAAATGTCTCCAATTTCTCATTTTTCATGGCTGAGTAGTACTCCATTTCATAAAAAAACCACATTTTCTTTTTCCAGTCTCCAGTTGATGGGCATTTGGGCTGTTTCCAACTTTTAGCTATCACAAACTGTGCTGCCATGAACATGGGCACACATATATCACTGTGGTATGATTCTTTTAATTCTTTGGGGAAGATATCCAGCAGAGGAATAGCTCGGTCAAATGGGACTTCCAGTCCTAGTTCTTTGAGGTATCTCCATACTGATTTCCACAGTGGTTGCACCAGTCTACACTCCCACCAGCAGCGGAGCAGGGTTCCTCTTTCCCCACAGTCCCGCCAGCATTTGTTATTGGTTGATTTCTTTTTTTTTTTTTTTTGGTACCGGGGATTGAAGTCCAGTCCTTGCGCTTGCGCAGCAGGTGGCGAAACCACTGAGCCAAATCCCCGGCCCTATTATTGGTTGATTTCTTGATAGCAGCTATTCTTTCTGGAGTGAGGTGGGAATCTCAGCGTTGTTTTCATTTGCATCTCTCGAACGACCAGTGATGTTGAACATTTTTTCATGTATTTATTTGCTATTTCGACTTCTTTTTCTGAGAAATGTCTGTTCATTTCAGATGCCCATTTTCAGATTGGGTCTTTAAATTTGGGAGGTCTGATCTTTTTAAGTTCTTTATAGATTCGAGATAGTAGACTTTTGTCTGAGGAAAAGCAGGTGAAGATTTTTTCCCACACTGTGGGTTGTCTCTTCACACTGCTGGTGGTTTCTCTTGCTGTGCAGAAGCTTTTTAATAAGAAGAGATCTGACTTGTTGATTGTTTGTGCTAGTTCACGGGCAACTGAGGTGCAATGAAATTAATATGAGAAAATGGAAAAATAGAAACAAAATCTTTGTAAATAGGGAGGAATGGAGGGGTTGAAGGGAGGGCTGGGCAAGGGTGAAAAATAAGAACCAAGAGAGACTATGTAAAGGTGCAAATTTCCAATGATGAATGTCATTATATTGTATACCTAAAATGTACCAATGATTAGAATGAATAATCAATAATGCAAAATAGGAAGAAAAGGTCCAAAGAGGTAGGGGTAGTGGGAGGGGCAGGGGAAAGGAAAGAAGGGAAAGGAAAAATGCTGAGAAATGGAAAAAATGGAAATAAAGTCTTTGTAAATAGGGAAGGGTGGAGGGGGTGAAGGGAGGGCTAGGAATGTGGAAAAAATAAGAACCAAGATGCATTATATAAAGGTACAATTCCCAATGAGAAATGTAATTGTGTTGTATACCTACAATGTACCAATAAAAGAATTTAATAAAAAATAAAAGTATTCCTCAGTACTTGGGAGACTGAGGCAGAAGGATCACTGTGAGGTGGAGGCAGCCTTGACTGCGGTAGTGAGTTCGAGGCCAGCCTGAACTGCATAGTGAGACCCTGTCTCAAAAAAAGTGTTCCTAGCCAACACATTTGCCTTTGCACTTAGATTTTTGTATTTCTGCTCATCCCTGAGTGCTGAATGTCTGTTATAACCAGTAGGCATTATTCTAAGGCGGATTTTAAAAACAAAAGGGCCATTTGTCAGGTTCTAGTAAGACAAACAATGGAAACTGTTCAGTTTGATTTGAACCAATAGTAGTCTGAATGAAACTATTTAGAACAAAGTCCGTTAAACATCTTGTTATATTTCCTTATTGTGATCAACATTTGTTAATTATGGCAGATTTGCTCAAGACAAATGCCGGAAGATATTCTTACCCATTCAGAATAGCCAAAAACTTGAGTCTTAAATAGAACCTTAGGAGTGACAGTTCAGAACTAAACAGTTTGGCCTGCTCCACATTGCACATCAGTTAAGCCAATATTTATTTACTGAGCACTTACTGTGTGCTAGGGATTTGACTAGGCAAATAATGAAGGAGAAGCATGCCTCATTCCTTCCTCCCACACTCATTGGATCAAGCAGAAAAGATTAGCAAGAGAATAGCTAGTTATAGGCACAGGATGGCCACCTCAGTCCCTCCAAACTGATGGGAATGCTTTTATCCACTGTCCACTGCAAAAGAAAAAAACATGGATAACTGACTGGACTTCACAGCTCAGTGAGTTTTCCGTAATACACAGGACACGGGCCGCTTTGCTCAGAGTCACCGCTGCTGCAGGCACCTGCGTGACGCTGATGTGTACTGCATTCTCTACAAAGGCATCATGGGCTTCTGTGTCTCATAACAAAAGAATAAACTTGATTTTTAAGAACTTTTCCTTGTGAGTACACAAACTAAGCCAGGTGCAGAGGAGCACACCTGTAATCCCACCTACTCAGAGCCCAAGGCAGGAGGATCTTAAGTTTTAGGCCAGCCTGGGCAATGTAGTGAGAGAGACTATCCCAAAATGAAAAATAAAAGGGCCCGGGGATGTAGCTCGTTGGTGCTGTACTTGATGTGTATGAGTACTTGCCTCTGCTCATGTGGGAGGCCCTAGGCTCTATCACTAGTACCAGGAAAAGCTTTTTAAAAGGCAAAACGTTATACTACTTTCAGTAATATTTAGTGAATTTTTATTTTAGGTAAAGCTGAGCATTTACTTTAACAAGCTTTTGTAGGTCATGCTATCCAGTGGCTACCAGTAGTTCATTACTTTATCACAGTTGTCAAGAACTACACAGTGTTCGAATGTTAGCATCCAGTATTTTTGTCCCTGTGTGTCCTTGTTGGTTGGTTGATTTTTTTTGTGTGTGTGGTATTGGAATTTGAAGCCAGGAACCTTCGTACAGAGCTACATCCCTAGCTCGCTCTTTTAATTTTTTATTTTGAGACACCCTCATTTAGTTGCCTAGGCAAGCCTCAAACTTGTTACCCTCCTGCCTCGGCCTTCCTAGCCACTGCTGGCTGCTAGTTTACTACTGAAGCCTTTGTGATCCATTTTCTGCAGCTAAGCTGTGGCTGTAAGTAGGAGGTTGAGTAGTTTGTAATCATGAACCACAATCATTGACATTTAGTCCTTTCTAAATCTCTCTCTCAAGATTTGGAGTTGAATGTATTGATGTGTGTAATGAAAGGATTAGGGATTATTGGCTAATAAATTATTTTCTGCTTCTGGGAAGTGTTTAATGGGTGCATATGCATAGGTAAAGCTATGGATATGTCTATATTTTTACATGCACATAGATCTCCTTACCCTGTGGTCATGTTGTGTGTCTCTTT